AACCACTCATCAGTTACGTAAACTAGCGCACTCGCCGACGTCAGCAACGCTGCGTGTCTTCTACTGCAAGGCTCAAAAGTCCAAAGACCTCCCGAATTCTCTAGAATCTAGACAAACATGCAGTCAACGTCAACTGCCTTTATTGCAAGTTTTTTTTCTCCCTCCATCCTAAATTACAAGTCATTCCGAGAATATTAGAGAGTCAAAGTATTTTAGGTTTGACTAAATTTATATAATAAAATAATAACATTTATGATGTCAACTAAGTATTATTAGATTTCTCATTAATTATATTTTCATAGTATACTTATTTGATGTCATAAATCTTTATAATTTTTTCTATAATTTTGACATCATTAATTATATTTTCTCTATAATCTTCATAATTCTTCATAAATTTATATTTTCGTAGTATACCAGTGTCCACGGCTGCTCGATCGTGACATTCGAAGCAACTTGCCCTTCCCAAAAACGCGTGAGGTGCCATTCCTCCTTGGGCCTTGGCGAACAGGCACTGACGACAAAGGTGAGTGGCGGCTGCTGGTCAGCGGGCGCAGCACGCGCTTCCCCTGCTTTCCTCGCAGGGAGTTCGGAGCCTATAGATGCACAAGCATCAACCACCACGCCCTCTTGCAACTGCAACTAAAGATGACAACAGGCCCCCGATACCCGATACCTGACGGGTATTTGATCCATTAGGAGACGGGATGGGATCATATCTTTATCCGTGGGCATCTAAATGGGCAAGAATCCATACCCGATGGGTATAGCGGGTACGGGAACGTTCCCTGTTTACCCGTCCCCGTTACCCGTTGGGGAACCCGACTATTTGAGCTGTCATGCGAGTATTAGGCCCAAAAAAGCTCAACATAGGTATTTTAGCCCAAATCTGAACAATCATATATATAGTTTGTGTGTTCTAGGAATCCTAGTTCAATTTTTTCTCACCATCTCCGCCAGCAGCACAAGCACGCCTGCCTCACGAGCGCTCGTGCCCCTCGCTTCCTCAGTTAGGTCCCTCTGCCACCTTTGCTCGTCCTCCTCGCAACCTCGCTCCTTCTCCTCGTCATCTCCGAGAATCCGACACTTATACCCGGGTGAAGAAGAAACGTCTCCGATTGCAAAGCTGCGACCCCAAGTGTCCTTGTTTATCGGGTATGCAGTACCCGTCGGGTATCTGTTACCCGACCGATGCCCGACGGGTACGGGGATGAGCAAGAATCTATACCCGAGACAATTAACGGGGACGGAGACGGGATAATTTCTCCGTAGCGGGGAAGAGAACGTTCCGACGATACCCGACGGGTATATCCCCGTTGCCATCCTTAACTGCAACCGCCAGCCCTGGGCGCGGAGCCTGCATGCGACGTCTCGCAATAGAAGAGCAGGACGAGGCTGGCGTACGAACCCTCGGTCGGTCATCAGTGAACGGTACAGTACAGGCAACAGAGACCGAATTTATTGCAAATAAACTGACGAGTGACGAAACAAGCAAATTCCGGCGGGACATACACACACGACACGAGGAAACCTACGCTTCCGATACGCAAATGGAAATACGGACTCAGACTGAGACACAAATACGGATTGTTCAGGAAGAATGCCCAGAACCCAGCGGTGCCCGTGGCGACCGCCATCAAATCGCCCACACGAGCGCGCCACGGCCGGGAGGCATCAGCCACGCCACCCGCTGGCTAGCTGCTCTAGTCCTCCTGCCCCGGCTCACCAGCGTGAGCGTGGGCGAATGCACGGACGAAATGGGCCGTCAGAATCACAAGGACGGCGTACGACAGGAACACGAACGCCGCCGAGACCGGGTCGCGCCGGGCGTCATAAGTGTCGATCGCCGTGTTGCTCGTCAGCACGGCGAGGCCCAGTTTGGCCAGCGCGGAGTATTGCCCGCCCATGCCCATGTTGATCCTGCCCCCGCCGCGGGCCCGTTCGAACCTGCGGAGGCAGAGGAAGAGCAGCACGAGAGTGGCGTCACCGCGTCAGCGGCGAGCAGGAACGCCACGGAGCCCGCGTCGCTCCCGCCGCCTGCGGCGTCCACGCCGGCGACTCTCTGCCTCTGGTCCTCCATTCTAAGACGACAGCTTGCACGCAGGTGTACAAGATTGTCTGCTCGTGACTCGTGTGAAGGTCGTGAATGAAAGCGTGAAGAGAGAGAGAGACGGGATCACGGGGGACACGCACACGCTACCTACCTTGCTTGTATTGGAAGGCAAAGAACCTAGTTTTTTTCCCTTTAATTCAAGCCTGTAATGATTTTGTCTTCTTTTTTTCTTTTATTATCTATAACAAATAATTTCAAAAAGGGAAAAGGATAAAGGAGGGACCCTAATTACAACATTATTATCGGTCTGGCCCAGCAAAGACTGCCGCGGCACCCTCAGCTACACGTGGGCCTTGTTTTCCGCTCCTTCGACTGGGGACGATCTGTGGGCCTGCTGAAGCTAGTGTTTATTGGGCTTTTGGGTCAACCAGACATAAGCTCTCGATCCACCACCTTCTACAGACTAGAATCCATTATAGGTCCAATGCTGTTATTTTTCACGAAAAAGTTCGTTTGACCTCGGATCCTTAGAGCATCTCCAGGAGTTCCCTATTCCTCTTCCTAATCCTTATTTTTAGTAAGATGAGAAAAGAAAATCCTCTCCAACAGCTCCTAATATATCTTCCTAAACTTTTAGTACTTGGGGAAAAAAACCCACATCTGCGTAAAGTTACGCGCACTCTCCGTCGCGCGTATCCTCTTCCCCGCGTTTTCTCCTCCTTTGGCGCGGTAGTTTCTGGCACGACTCATCTTCTTCGCGCCAAAGCGCCCCGTCCAGGGGAGGCTGTCGTCGCCACCACTGACCTTGGGACGACTGGAGGAGGAACGTGATCCATCGATCTTTGCTTCTTGCCATGGCCGATGGTTTTTTTTTTTGCCGCCGCGTCGTCCATGCCGCCCGAGAGGAAAGCGTCGTACAGACCAGGGCGTCGTTTCTGGCCGCGCGTCGCACGGCAAGAAGCCAGCGGAGAGGAAAGCGGCGTCGGCCACGATGCACAGGTGCCCGAAGATGTCCTCGGCGTCCCAGTGGGCGCCATCGGTGACCTTGCTGAGGGGCCAGGACTTCTCGGCGGCTGCCATTGCTGTTGGTACAGATGCGTTATTTGGTGGTCACCATCGTGATACTAGGCGCGGCTGTGGCCTGTCGAGGAGAATCTGAAGTGCTGCTGGGCGGCTGCTCCTGCTACCGGCCGGCTTTGCTTGCATGCTACTGTTGCTGAATGCTACTGCTACTACATGGCCGGCTGCTGCTGATGGCTAGCTGCTACTGCTACTACTAGATGGCCAGCTGGGAGGTGCGGGAGCGAGAGCTGGGCCGGGTGGCCGGGTGCCTGCCTGCCACCGGCTGGAACAGCAGGACTAGGGCATGATGAAGGAAGAAGGCGGCGGCGGCGGCGTGGGTATGCGCAAGCACAAAGAGTTTCGCACGGAAAAAAAAAGACCACAAAAAAAAGCGGACCAAATTCTGATTTTTTTTAGAGTGAAATATTAGATACCATTGGAGATTGACTTCTTTTTTTCTCCAAATACATTTTAAGAGTTTGAAAACATGGAGTTTTTAGGAGAAAAATTTAGGTAACTCTCGGAGATGCTCTTAGATTATATATTGTGTGAATCCGATTCACTTCTCTCAATTAAAACATCAGAATTTTTAGACTCTTTTAATTCTAACTTCTGAAACCGTCTAATTTATTCAAAAACCATTTTAAAACAGCCCAGGAGATAAACCGGACGATTTAATTTAGAAGAGTCTAAAAATCCAGTTTCTAATTGAGCGAGGCAAATAGGACCCATGCAATAGTCAAGGGAGGCTACATAATTTTTTTTTCTTTTTTTCATCAAGCCAAGGAAAGATATTTATGCTTTAGTCATTTACTAGAAACTGTGGCGCGGACGTTGCCGCGCCAACCTAAGATGACCTGTGTATTTTGGTTGCTATGTATGTATCATCTGCAATTGGAAGTTAATGTCGTCTGTTTCGTCCATGTCTTTGGTGTTCGATTTTTTGTCATTGAAGTCTTATAGGTATGTATCACCTACAATTGGAAGTTGAAGCTTTGATTAATACACTGCCGCACCATCCTTGGAGTTCACCGGTGTAGTTTTTTTTATACCATTATTATTGCAAAAGGTTGAGCTACGAGATTGCCCATCAGTAATATATGGAGTCATGGGTGATGTTTACAGCAATAGCACAATCAAGAGTTAAAATATTTCCTCAACTTGATCCAAGTGTGTCGTACCTAAATTTGCATGCACATATATACATTGATATGTAGCAATCTCATCATGTAAAAATTTGAGGTGGTCATATAAATGTGCCAAGTAGCAAATCTATCTATGGGATACAATTCAATATAGCAATGCATCAATACTTTTAAGTGCTAATGTCCATATAAAAGTTTTGTAACTTCATAGTTTTATAGGAGAACAATATTTTCTGAAACTAAGCATATCTCACAGATATTGTCATAAAAGCTGAGGCCATGCATAAGTATGCATCGCTAAGTTTGTTTCAGTGACCCAGTACAAAAATGTCTTGTATAACCTTTTAATGAATGATGAGATCCATAGTATGCAGTAGCATGGAAAGAGGGAAAACAAAAACAAAATGATACTATTTAAATGTACATTGATGAAAGGATAATTATGAATTGGAGAAAATATTTGTGCTCTGCCCAGAAATTTAATTTAAGTGGCTGAATAATGATTATAAATGCAATTTAGAAAACAAAATGATTAAAGAAATAGAGTAAGATCGTGTGTGCTCCTTCGCTTCAACACATTTCTGTTTTACAAAGAGAACATGCTTTCTCCCCCATCTATCTGACAAAGGTGGCTCTGGAATTTTTATTTATCTTAATATTAGACACTTATTAAAGGAACATAGACAAGGACAAAACTCTCCTCCAATATCAAACTCTAGTATCAATGGCAAAATCTGCCCCTAGTATTGTGCATCCTGGGAACCTGACCCAAGTACCTGAGACAGAATTTCAAGGTCAATGTTCTCAAGAGTTTTCTCCTTCCATTCTTTTGGAGCCAGGTCATGCAACGAATCCCTCACTTCCTTTACTAGGTTGATCAGTTGACTATAATCAGGTCTTTCTCCTCTCATGGAGTTGGTGACCATATCCCAAAAAGCTTTCTCCATGGTTTCTCTCACTTTCTTCTGGAACTCCTCAGCAGTACTAGCACTATCAGACCTGCCAGCGAAAGCACTGGCATCCTCATGAAGCATCTCATTGACCATTTGTTCATTCTCTGTCGGCTGCTTTGTTGGTGATGAACTGACTGATGCTTGGGGAAAAGAACTGAATTTGACATATAAAAAAAAGAACCATGCGCATCGAGATTGAAAAAACCACTGTCTTGTTCCAGCAGTATAAAGTCGTTACTATGAAAAAATATTTGATAAACACATTTATCATCAAAGATAATAAAGAGGAGTTTACTAAACACCATTAGTTAATCTTTCACATTCGTACATAACTACTCAGCTTGGGGAAAACAACTGAATTTGACATATAAAAAAAGAACCATGCGCATTGAGATTGAAACAACTACTGTCTTGTCGCAGCAGTATACCTGATTGTGAACGGCTGCCAATACCTGTTGTAACTGAACCACTTGTACCAAATCGCTAAATTCTAAAAAGGACGTACCCACTTAAATAATTTCGTTGTAGATACCTGCAAGTCATCACACATCGGAAGAACAAAAGTAGCACTACTAATCTGTGATGTGTAAGAATCCTGAATGGAGTAGTTGGATGGTTTTGCTAAACATACTGAAATGCCATGCTCTAATATCTGAAAAGTGTCATTCTATAAATTTTTTAATTAGGGCAGGCGACAAAGACAAGACATTCCAGTTTTATGAAATGAAGTAAGCCACTGCAGATCTTCGAACTTCTACCAGTAATATGAATTTTAAATTACCATATATGTACATGTATAGTTAGTACACATGGGATACAACTATTTCAGTAAATATTAGCACTTATCCATGCATTCTGATTATTATCTTGATCGATGCAATCCTGCATGATAGAAAGACAACAGAATGTTCATGTTTAAGCTCATGGATTGCTGATCAAATACTATCAGAAACGCTGATTATTCAGTGGCTCAATGCACACCTACCTTGGAGGAATAATTTCGAGCAGCAGCTGGGAATCGTCCATGGACACCACTCTAGCCGCTGAGGAGTTGGACCCCACTCTAACCGCTGAGGAGCTGGCCGGTGCTCGCGGCGTAGGAGCTCGCATATGGGCACAACGGAGATGCAAAGCACCAAAACCACTTACACTGCACGCCGTGACGCGGACTCTTACATGAGCAAGGCAACATCTGTGCAAAAAAGTGAAATTCTAAAAAAGGATGCACGTACCAGAGCAAGATATCTAGAAAGCTCCCCTCCTCTAAACTCCCACTTCCCTTTCTAATTGGTGCTAAACAAGCCAAGAGAAAGGAACATAGAGAGGTCCTCACCGAGCATCGACTTTGAAATATCATAGCCAATCCAGTGGTGGCCATGCTCCATCAATGTCTCACCACTAAGCCCAGAACCACATCCTAGAAATTACAGCACACAGTCATCGTAGGTAAGCATATCTTCAAACATAGATGTCTTTCAATTGCCATAACCAATTGCAATAAAGAGCTCCCACAGCATGTATTTTTGCCCCCGTCAAAGGAGAATACTTTCTGTTGTTCTAGTCAACGCGATATGCCATGATTCATGAAGCAGAGCTGCAGAAGAGAGTAAGCTGACCTATGTCGAGAAGCAGCTTGGGGACGCCATCGTTGGGAAGAGCGAGCAGCTCCAGCGCCCTCTCGGAAATCCTAGACTAAAAGAAGCCATGTCACTTCGCGCCAGCGCCGCGAAATCGGCAAAGCTCAAATCAAACGGGGGGAGGCACTTCGCTTGCTCACCTGGATTTCGATGATACGGGAGGAGGTGGTGTACTTGGGGACCTCCGACTCGTTGTAGAACACATCCGGCGCTGCCTGGAACTCCGGCCGAGGCATCCTCACTCCCCTCCGAGTGTGCGGCGGCTTACCAGATTGGCGGGACTGCAGCTCTCGAGCCCCACGCCCGCGCCGGGGTGGCCGCAGCCGCCATGCCTGCGCCCGCCGCCCGCTCCGGGGTGGCCGCAGCAGCCACGCCCGCACCGGCGGCCGCGACCAGGTCGCAAGGGCAGCTGGGGCCCCCGCCCGCGCCGGGATGGCCGGGACCCGAGCGGCCAAGGCCGCCGCGCCCGCGCCACGACTGCGCCGGGGTCGCCGGTGCCTCTGGGGCCCCCACCGGCGCCGGGATGGCCGGGAACCCCACGCTCGCAGAGCCCGCATCCTGCCCGCGCTGGGGCCGCTGGCCCCGCCCGCGCCAGGAGGAGGAGGGAGGTGCGGGGGCGGCGTAGAGTGGCCAGGTCGAGCGCGGTTGCGCCGCGCGGCCTCGGGCGGCTCTCTCCTCTACACGACGGGCAAATCTCGGGAATATTCGCTACTTTACGGGTCGACGCCCGAACCGACCCGCAATCGGACGGACCAGATCACCTGATCGCTTGATCCAACGGCTAGCGGGTTAGCGGGTGACGTGGCACTATCGGATGCCCGCGGTTTGGGTGCAGGATTCCTATAAGAAGACTAAGCAACGCGCGGCGTTGCCGCGCAGCAGCATGGTGTGCCCCATTACGGAACCGGCTGTATCAAGCTTAGTAGATACCATTATGTTTGTTATATATTCATCTAATACTAGCACAAATATGAAATTATGAGGTATTTGTAAGTTAACCTAATAATTTTTTGAATGTGCACTGTGTTCTGATACTATGAACTTAAGTACTGAAGTAAGAAGTTGAAAGGATTATCGTTAAGATAAAAATTAACTTAATATATTCAGTAGCTTTTTTTGTTATAATAAGTAGGGCTATTAGCATTATATATGTGCAGAGGATTTATGTGAAATAGTTTTCTAATATGATCATAGGATAGCATCACTATGAAACTTAGTCTGTTTAGAAACTGAAAACTTGAAACCGATACCATTTGTGCATTCAGTCAAAAATGAGCACCTAAATCTCACTATACATATTTGTCAAATTTCGGAAAGGTATTTTACTTAGAGAGTAAAATGAGTTCAGGAATTTGAGCATTTGGCACCTGCCGGGCAGCTTCTCTCGCCCTATCCTTTGTTGCTCCTTGCAATTCACAGCAGCTGGACTCCCGACTCCGCTGGCATGAATACAAGGACATAGAAGCCATTTCTCTCTTTTTCTCCTGGTCTCTGTTTTCCTCGTTGGGTTGTCCATAGACCAGAATGGTTGTGGCAGCAACAGCAGCTCGCTCCTGAAGTGCTCCCCGCCGTGTGGCCCTCTTCTCCACGTGAGGCAGGCGGATCGAGCTGCACATCTGCACCAAATCTGCAGCACACGGTGAGCCAAAGCAGATTCTGAACATATTAGGTTCCTTGCATATTGCTGAGACTTCAGCTGGCTGATCTTGTGGATGAGCGAAAGAAATGGTGTAGTTCCAAGAGTGGAAATAAAATGGATCCACTATCTAGATTCTAAACAAGGAGCATATATTTTTGTGCTTTGTTTAGTTAATGGAACAGAGGAGCCACGACAACAACATTACTGTATTTTTCTCTCTACATTCACATATGGTTACTGTTACTGATATGCAGAAACAGATCAGGTTAATCCATCTAATGGTGGAGGAACAAAATTTTCCAAATTCTACAACCAAATCAAAATCATACTTTCACATTAAACAAATCCACAGTTCAGGTTTTTTTACAGATGTAATGATCAAAGGCTTGCCAACCCATTTAAGTTGCTGTAGTTGAACATTATAAACAAAACTCATCAGACCATCATATCCAAAATTAGAATAAGAGTCATAGAAATCGAGATTAACTTTGCATGTATGCTTTAATCGAGAACACTGAGATGGGACTAAGTACTCATCACTTTTTTTGCAGCAAGCTATTCTAGAAGTGTGAATGCTACATTGATTAGTAACACTGAATATTACTTTTTGCAACAGAAGTTCATCATTTCTTTTCTCGAATAATTACTTGTTCTGGTGATAAGTTAACAAAATACAAATATTACATCACGTACAGCCATACCACGGAAATCGCATCAGGGTTGAGTTTTACAGCGTAAACGTGAAACTGCTGACATGCACATTTCATCAAACACCATAGCTGCACTGCAGCAAGCAGAAAGGGAGCTCCTAACAGGAACCTCAACTCTGCTTTTGCACATCCACATGGATCGACAACGACAAGACAACAGAGAGGTACCTACTTAGTGCCGCGCCGCGCTCGTCTCGTCGGTGGTCCACGGCCACGCCGGTGGCACGCGTTTGCGGTGGCGTCCGCCTCGCCGGGGACCTATATATCCGTGCCGTGATGTGGTTGGTTCACTGCGGCACCTCGCCGGTGTGCGGCTGCCGCGTCCGGCTGCCCCAGGGACTACGCTCGTGCGACACTGCGCTCGGCTCGCCCGCACGGGACGCGTCGCCTCGCTGGTGTCTACGCGAGGTGGATGAGGTCGGCGAGCGGTGCGGCAGGCGGAGGAAGGCACGGACGGCTTGGTAAGGAGGCTGGCCCGAGGGTGCGAGCGAGCGGGCGTGGGCGCAGCCGTCCGGCGACCCCGGGTCGGCGGCCCCGGCCACCCTTGCGCGGTTGGGTGTGCGAGCTGCGGGGGCTGCGGACGTGGCGCGCCCGTCCACCCCGGAGCGGCATCAGGGGCCCCTGCGCTGGCGGCGCCGCGGGAGCGCACGGGCGTGGCGGCCCCGGCTGGCCTGGCGCAGGCGAGGGCCCCTGCGACCCCGGCGCAGGGGGGAGGCGGGGTACGGGCGCGGCGGCTCCGGCCGCAGGCAGCGCGCGGAGGCGGCAGCGTTTTGGGCCTCCCGCTGCGCCGCCACGTCGGGAGAGAGGGAGAGAGAGGAAGGGACGCGAGGGCGGCAACGGCGGCGGGGGCAGGCGGCGCGAGGCCGTGGCGAGCTCGGGGCGAGGAGGGCGAGGACGTTGGATTTGGGCCGGAGGAAGGGACGGTGCCGGAGGAGGAGAGGCTGCGGCTCTGCGGGAGGTTCGTAAGCTGAGAGGAGGCCTGCATCGAGGGTCGAGGGCTTTAAAAAAACCCCTGAGAGGATGACTAAAGATCGAGATTTTTTTTTGCAAAAAAACTGCGGCTCGTTTCATCTGGGTCGTCCGCGTGCCTGATCGAATAGCTTCAAACAAAAACACGCAACGTGGCACGCTGACTGACCAGCTTTTGGAGGCATGATTCATATAAGAAGATTAGTGGCGGATGGATGCTGAACGTGTGGAAGCGACGAAAGGACACTGGTACGGACAACGATCCACCACGTCTCACTCGCATTGATGCACACACGAGCAACATGTGCCTTGGCGCTAGCATACGTTTATATATCGTAACGCAACAGTGTTCAAATTCAAAGCCCCATACGTGTGCAAAGGCACAGCCAGCCGACTGGATCGAAGCGGCGCCACGTCGCCGCCACCGTCCACCAACCGCGTACCTATTCATATCAAGCTGACCGCGATTCTAGCTCAACTCCCATATGGCCATATGATATGATTTGGTTCATTTTATGAACGGCGTTTAGTACGTATTTGGTTCTAGAGATGGACGAATAGAGGACGATGGAATGAATTGATCCTATTTTTAAGATGTTTGACGACTGTTAGGGACGCGACCATTTTCGAGTGGAATATACCCCCTGTTCGGCCGTTTTTTTTTTTGCAATTTGGCCCCTTTTTTTTGTCAAAATTCACGTTTACACCACTGGACGACGTAAATTCAATTTTGGATCCTTTTCTCAACGCCATGCCCTACATCACCGGGGTAACACGTCTTGGTGTCATGAGGTTGGAGGCTACGAATTACGTGGCTGTCGACGTGACGTTGACGTGACCAAAGCTCGGCACCATGAATCACGGCCATATTCTACCGAATAAACGAAAAATATCTCAACCAAACGCAGAACATGTTTGTCCACCTAAAAAATCAGGGACAAGACCGTTCCATCCTACCATGTCTCAAATCAAGCACACGCTGAGGCGACTACTGTCTTGTAGTGTTCATCGGCTGAAAAAGTACGACGCCAAACAAACAGGGCATACGAGCGGTGGTCAACGGGCTAGAAGCAGAGGACCACCCTCTGCCAGCAGCGCAAACTCGAAGGCAGATTTTATTCAAAGTGACGAACTGGGAAACAATACAAGAAAGTGCAGGAAGCAAAAAAAAAAAAAAAAGAAATGAACACGCCCGGCAGCGAGACGCAGACTGACATCGACTTGCAAAAGCATCAATTAAGGAAAAACGCCCAGAACCCTCCTGCGGCCGTGGCGACGGCCAAGAGCCAGACCACCGCGGCCACCGGCGGCGGCATGAGCGGCGCCACCCTCGAGGCGAACATGGCCGTGAGCAGCGTGGTGAGCGCCCACACGGCGGCCTTGATCTTGGCATCCCTGCCCCTGCCGCCCCGCTCAAACTCACGGAGGCAGAGGAAGAGCAGCACGAGCGCGGCGTCCGCGGCGAGCATGAACGCCACGGAGCCGGCGTCGCCCCAGGAGTTGTAGATGGCGAGTGCCGAGTTGAAGGTCAGGGCGCCCAAGCCTAGCTTGGTCAGGGTGGAATATCCTCGGTCGGCCATGTGAAGTCGAACGATCTTCCGCGCCGCGCGCAGAGGGAGGGCCAGTATGAAGTATGAACTAGCGCATTCATACGGTAGCGAGATCAGGGATCGGAGCAGAACCGATTGTGCTGAACCGCCGAGCAGAAACCTGAGTTTATATGCCTGGCTCGCGGGTATGGACGCGAACTGATGTTGGGCGCAGTAAAGAAAACATATATGCCTGGCTCGCGGGTATGGACGCGAACTGATGTTGGGCGCAGTAAAGAAAACAAAGTTGATGAACACCGACGCCGCCGCCGACGCTGATGGAAGCTGCGTGCCGACAGCGTCGTCGGCATGCACGAGGCAGACACGATTCCAATGGAAGATCAGTTGGGCCTTCACGCTTCATATCGTGGCACCTTTGTACCAGTAGCTGAGGCGCGGGCGTCTGTCACGGACAGGATGTGCATCCGTGGCTGAGCAGCACCAAGACACCGGTTGGGTGTTGAGTGATATGGGCTTTTGGTCTGTTATAGGCTGTAGGGGCTCGGCCCATGTAAGAAGACGGCGGTGTTAAGGCGTATATTAGGCGTCTTTGTAATGCTGAGACGGGTACGGAAGAATTCATTAACGAGCTATTCCACAAACTCTGTTCATCCCCGTTCTTACTCCGTTCTTCTTTTCCAATCTCGATT